TTCATTTACTCATCATTATTATTCAGGAAAAATTTACAAATTGGCTGCATGGAATGTCCGTTGATAATCACGTAATGTAGCGTCCCGTGCGGAGCACAGATGAACCGCTAGTTAAATTTAAACTACGAAACTAGGAAAAAGCGTGAAAAAGTAAAATTTATCAAAAAATTCCCAACGTCGGGAATCGGTTTGACCGTTTTGTATTTTCACTATACACTTCTACTAAAGTGTGCAAAACGCGGTATACTTACAGGTACATATATAGACCGCATTTTCTACCTATGACTCTAGACTGTCGTTAGAGATTCTAAACCGAGGTGGAAAGTTAAAGGTATTGTAGAGCTTTATTCCAAAGCACCTGTCTCTATACTATAAGAATTTTACTACACCTTTAATAAATAAAAACCATATCGTTGATAGGTAATTTCGCAAGAGGATGGGAATAATGCATAACTGACTGTATCGAAACGTGAAACGCAAGAATTACAATTCTACTCAAAACAATATAAGTGCCCGCGTCCATATTCATAATTTTTTACGCTGATTTTGTCCGTTGACCTATACAGAGAGGAGAGGTAGGGTCATGGCCCCGAAATGAAATTCCATAATGCGTTGCGTAAAATTTTTGAGTTATTGAATTCGTTCGTTTATTTGTTTCAGTTTTGGCTGGAAACGTTCCTTGTTTTCAGAAGTGACTGCTGCTTAAATCGTGAATATTCAGATTAGGTAAGCAAACATACCACTCTTTTGTCACATATTTTCACACGGTCAGCCAAAAAGAGAAAAGGATGTATGATTTTAAGTAACGTACGCTGCAGTGTTTTAACTCAGTCTGGCCAAAAGTCAATTTTTTCCGGTAAAATTGATGCTCTCTTCGGAATGTAGATCATATTTTTTGTGGGAGAAATCTTGGATGTCGAGCAGTCCTAATAGTTTCGGCCACATTTGGAGATCAAAGACCACAATGTATATAATACTTTCCATTAGCCCATAGAATTCCAAAATCGGAACTGAGACTTCTCAATATCTGCCAACCACTACTAGTTTTTCAGATTACTATCATGATCTTCCGTCTTTTGAAGCTCCACGATCAGGGCCTACCTACTTAATAAGGAAGCGGCACAGATTTCATGCAACAAACAGGTGGCCGTGTCAATACACTCCCAACAAAAGTATCCCGCAGAACCTGACCCATAATATTCGAGATCAACGTTACTAACCAATTACTCCGCCTCGCCAAGGAAACATTCCGTACGAAAATTCAAATGTTGCCAGATTTCTCTCGATAAATTGTGAATTTTCTAGAAAACTTGCGAGCAGATTTTCTTTAAAATTTCACAAAATTTCATTCTCGGTTTAATACAGTTTATCTTAAAATTTCATGGAAAAATATTCGTAACTTTTCTTCAAATGGGTCAGTTGTGCTGGTCACAAAATTGAGTTTTGACACTTGATTCTTGTAGATTAGCTTAATAATAAGATCCGTCTAAACCGCAACTTCCTACGTTCAATATTAACCGAGATATCGCCTTTTGAAAAGTCGGGTTTTGACGTCATCCACCGCGGTAGTGACACCTTTGGTTTTTTTCATCTTGCCTTCATCCAAGTTTCACGTTCAGTAATACCAGCGCGTCTCTGACTGATGAAAGCAAGGTGTCAGAAACCACAGGTGTCACTGCCGCGGTGGATGACGTCAAAAACCTGACTTTTCAAAGGGCGATATCTCAGTTAATATTGAACGTAGAAAGTTATGGTTTGGACAGATCTCATTATTTTCACCTAACCTACAAGAATCAAGCATTTCAACACGGTTCTGTAACCAGCGCAACTGGCCCATTTAGCATTTTACCATGGGAACATTGATACTATTTAAATACTCATTCGACGCGATCCTCTCGCAAGGCGCTTTCGTGGCTTTCACGCCGGAACAACGGGTATTCATCCCGCAAAACAAAAGCGCGCACGGAGATCGGACGTCAAAGGGCCCCGTGGGTGCGTGCAATAGACGAATGGGAGCCCCCTCCCCTTTTTGGACCCCCAAGAGCCTTTTGGAGTGTCGAGGCGGGTGCGGTGGCGGGAAATGGCCGAGCGCCGAATTCAAATCATTAAATATCACTCGAGTCGCCGTTAACTGCTCACCGACGGCCTCCGTCTTGCGCGACCGCAAGCCGCCACACATGCCGGCCGAGGATCGAACCGCCAAATGATTTATGTCGTCCGGTCCTCAGAGCCTGTCGTCGGCAGATGATCCGAATCGGCCCCCCGCTGCACCTCCCCCAGCCCCCGCCCCCTCTGTTTGTCATTAGCGAGCATCGAGACTCCTGGAGGTGAATCTACAGGGTGGTCCAGGGCTGGGCTTTCTTCAAAGTTGCCAGGTGAAACATCGCGCAAAATTTTGCACGCACCGCCAGGTCCGTCGTTAGGGGCCACAAATTTTACGCAATCACGTGGGGTGGGGGGGGGTCAATCTGGTGACACCCAAACTCGAATTTCTTTTATGACTCAATTTTTCGGAGATTCCCATGTGTTTTCCTCTTCAACTTCCGTCTTCTATTTGTCCTCTTATTCCTCCTCTTCTTTTCCCTCTAATGTTTGTTCTTCATCCTCCTCCTCGGCTTCGTCAACCTCTTCCTCTTCTCCTTACTCTCCTCCTTTTTCCACTTATTTGGAGATTCCCATGTGTTTTCCTCTTCAATTTCCGTCTTCTATTCTTCCTCTTCTCATTATCCTTCTTCCTTTCTACCTGTTCCTCCGCTTCGTCTACTTCTTCCTCTTTTTCCTGCTCTCCTCCTTCCCCCACTCTTTTCTCCTCTTCCTCTTCTTCCTACTCTCCTCCTTCTTCCACTTTTTTCTTCCTCCTCTTTCTTTTTTCTTTCTCTCTTCCTTTTTCTCATTCAACCTCTTTTTCTTCTTTTCCTTTCTCTTTCCTCATTCCCACCCTCTTGTTTTTCGTCTTCCTCTTCCTCCTCCGCTTCTTCTTTTTCTTCCTCTACATCTTAATCTCCCTCTTTTTCTTTCTATTCTTCGCCCCGAAAGATCCCCGACATTTTAATTCTTAACCACCCTGTATACAGGTCGTTAGCAAGATATTTTTTTGCGTAGGGGATGCTAAGTGCTCTTGTCATGATTACTCCAATAATGACAGAGAAAGCAGTGCTAAATGCGGTTCAAAGTAGCTTCGAACATCAGCCTCTTTTTTACACACAATTTAAGTGATCTTGCGCGCTTAACAGACCGAGCACGCAAAAAAGTACAAGAGAGGGAGGTAGAAAGATAGGGAGGGAAATAGAATACAGAATTACTCATAAATATGTCGTTATCCAGGCCCACGGTCGATGTAATAAAATGGGAGACGCTCCGGTTCTCTGTAATACCATCCCTAAATACAACTATCCGTGCTCCACGGATGCCCATGTTGCAGATACGATGAAATTGAAGGCGCTCTTGCTTGTACACCAACATCTGAGCGGAATATTCCTGCCGCAGGTATAATAACTTGAGAGCGCTATGGCTTTGTTAAATATCAACGCCTGGATGCAACTATTCGTGCCGCGTGGATGTCCGTATTGCAGATATAATAAGTTGAAGGCGCTCTGAGTTTTCTATTATTGACGTTTGAACGGAAATATTTATGCTTGACTGATGTTCATTACCCATGTTGCTACTTAATCGACGGTGAAACTACCAAACCACGGTGAGTTTTATGGACCTCGGCCTCTTTTCTCATAGAATACAGTTAAATAGCGTCGCTCCTATGATAGAGAGGCGTAAGCGTTTTTGAAAGGAACCCTGTCGTTTACTCAACCCATTGGCTCCAGATCTCACTTGAAAATAGACTCTCTTACGTTAGAGGGCAGGTACTTTAGAGGATACATGAGATTTCCATTGGACATAGGCGGTCGGGTCCGAGTGGGACAGCATAAACATCCATTAGATTTTGTCGCCTTTAGAGGGGAGGAGATGACGGCCGGAGCAAGGAAAGATGATGAGGGGGTTCTGTAAAATCTGACAGTGAATATTTACTTGTTTTTATTTCACAATTCTCCGGAAGGTTTGAATTTTTGCACCGCCGGTCCTTCATTTTTTGCGACAGTCCTCGGTCCATCTCGCACCCCTTCAACTTTTTTTGCGAAACCGGGGAGTGCGTGTCCCCTTTGGTTGCTCGCAAACGTTTGTCCAAACGAATTCCCAACAGAACTCAACTTATTTGCCCGTCGCTAACCGTCAGCATATTATGTAGATCCGCACGCAAATATTCTGCGTTTTTTCTCCCGCTTTGCGATAGCATGAAAGCCGTGTTTCCTCCCGAGTGGACGTCATTCAATCATACAGTCAGCTCTTCTACCGTTTCAAAATTTCGCAGTTCCCATCCAGCAAAAACGCTGTCCCTCCATTTCAGATTTTTTTCCCCCTCTCGGAGAAACGCTGAAATAAAAATCTCGGTGTATTTACTAAGAAAAGGGTAAAATTACCAAGAATTCAGGGTTCTATTTGATCCCAGTTTTTTCTTGGTAAAGTTACCATTTATGGAATTGGTAATTTTACCGAGAATCTCGGTAAAATTATTGAACTTTCTCGGTAATTTTACCAGACCTTGGTAAAAACGCTAATATTTTCTATCGACTATGGTGGAATTACCGAGATAAAATGGCAAAGTTACCGGGAATTGATTACCAATAAAAGTGGTATTCTTACCTGAGAAATACAGTAAAAATACCGGTTTTTAGGTAAGCTTTTTAAACAAAGTGAGATGGTAAAGGTACCAACGGACCTTGGTAAAAACGCCGAGAATTTTTTTTCAGTGGAATGCTATATTAACTGGAGAATCTAATCACCTGCTCCATGCTGCGTACTTGTCACCGTAAACTCCCGATGGTATGACCATCCCCCACACTCTTAAAATACAGAGGATATAGGTATGTTAGGAGTCGCTTTTTGACAGAAACTTGCCTGTAAAAAACATAGCAAATGCGCTGATACGATGTTTTAGCTTGAAATGATGGGCTCGGAGGACAAGGTGACAAGGTGCATAAGTGCAGTTTTTGCTGTTTCGAGAAATACGTGTTTGAAGTTTCGAAATTGCATGGACCCTTTTGGCGGAAAGAAAGTTCAAACTGACTTTTCAGTGCTTAAAAATTAAAATTTGGAAGCGAATTTTTCGCAGGCTTCCAGGACTTTATGTCCACCTACCTTTCGTCCATTAAATAAATGTCCACCGCTCTTTATGTCCACTAAACGTTAAGTCCAGTCTTTATTAAGTCCACATGATTTAATGTCCAACCATGAATATGTCCAAAATTGTCCAAATTGTGGACATGTTATGTCCACATTTTTTTCTTCTCATTTAAATGACAGGAACCACCTCAAAAATAAATGCATACTACTACTACCTTCATTATTAAAAACATTTCATTCATGAATCAAGTCATGAAAAAGAACAGACTCTAAGAGCAGATAAAAACATATGTTCATGTGTACACTGTACGGATATAATAAGATGAAAATCAAAGCGGGAGCCTAGGGAACGCTCCAATGCCAAATTTAACATTTTTCAGTAACAGATGCAGTCAAAATTGAAAGTCCTCTTTAACTAGTTACTTCGTGCGCCTAAAATCTTGTAGGATACTGTGCAACGCCTCTGACGCGAAATAGTTGCTTAAAGCGTTGCGGCGCGGCAGGAAACCAGCGTGACAGGAAACCAGCGTGACACGCGCATAGGCGCCTAC